GTACGTGGTTGTGGTAAACAAAGACTACTTGAAATGTTCCGAAGTTTGTAGTTTGTCACCCCACCCTTACATGTGAAGAGATTACTGAGTGATTTAGGTCCATTGGCAAGCCATAGGCTGTCAAGATATATAGGATGGTCTGAAAGCCCGGTAAACATCAACGCCACAAAATGGAAAACCTTTGTTATATTTGATGTTTAACTGTGGGGTGCACGAATCCTTTGTCACAACTTCATTGAATATTATGATCGGTGGATGTATGTTTTCGAGGTACCTATATCCAGCTGTCCCTACTGGACGATTACATCATACGAAATACAATAAGCTAAATCACTGTGGCTGTGCCCAAATTAAAATAAACTCAGACAAAAACATACAGTAACATAATGACTTTTGTTTAGTTTCCATGCAGATCATCATATTCTGATAGACTACGTTCAGGCATTACAACAAAGGTTCAAAAAATCACTACCAAGTGGATAACGTCATTTTTTAATTGCCCTTCGTACATGCAACCGGCGCCAATTTCTTTCTATACCTGTAATATTTTAGCCAAGAGCGGATAGTTCTCAACGGCGTCAAGGTGTGAACTTGCCCATGATTTCTTAAATATTTTTCGTCCAATATCATCCTATAGAAATAATTAGAGAGTGTTTCGATATACGACACTACTGACAAAAAATATTTTACACTGTATTATCGCTCTTCATTTGCGTTCCTGACGAGTTTGGAAACGTGTTTCGGTCTCAAAAAGTCAATATTTTTGCGAAACACGTCAAAAAGCATTTTGGAATGCGTTTGGAACGCAATAAGAACTCGTTTTGAAACGCATCGAAAGGAAAATCGGAGCAATGTGGAACAGGGCGTTATGTTTTTCAACGCATTCGGAACGCATTTTGACCGAAGGCAAAGACAGTACACACGTCAAAACGCACAAGTTGTTACAGGTCTGCAAACAAGTTGTTACAAATCTGTTCACAAGCTGTCGACAAGTTGTGTTCGCACTGCTTGTTCCCAGTTGTTGTAACAAGTTCGGAACAAGCTGTTAACAACTTCTAACAAGCTTGATGGCATTATTAGACTTGTGACAAGGTTGTTCTAACAAGTATGATACAAGGTTGACGAAAAAAGGTTGTAACAATATTGTTATATCACGACTGTATCGGACTTGTCTGATAGCATCAACAAGGTTGTTACAAGTTGTTAACAGCTTGTTCCAAACTTGTTGACAACTTGGGACAAGCAGTGCGAACATAACTTGTTGATCATGGCTTGTTGGTAGACTTGCTACACTCAGTCTCACCTTAAACAATCTCCAAATAGCCAACACAAGGGTTAGGGAATCAGGTGAACATTTCTCCCAACTACATTTTATATCGTTTTCCAAAACTGGTAAAAGGTATTCTTGAAATTCACTGAACTCCAACTGAAAGAACGATATAACAATTACACAACCCTTTATAATTTCGGACAGACAAAAGAGAAGTTATATATAGGCTTCAAGTTAGCATTTTACTTTACCAAAAACCAGATGATTTTCATTTTTGAACACTTAGACTAAGTTGGTTTAACGAATTATTAAAAAGGGTTCGTTCGTACATGTCAGAGTGAGTCAAATTCAAGGACTTTTTAAGGACATTCAAGACCATGTATCAGCAAATTCAAGGAAGGTTAGATTAATCAGTAAAATCTGGCGTTGAATTGATCAAAACGCAACTTTAATGAGTTTCAAACAGCTTTAACAGATATGAACATGCAAAATCAATTCAACAAAATGTTCGTTTTGAATGTCAAACAATTTCAGAAAATATCCATAAACTAAAGCAAGGAGAATTCAAGGACTTTCGAGTACTTCTTTATAAATTCCAGGACATTCAAGGCCTTGAATTTTTGTTCTCAAATTTAAGGACTTTCAAGGACTTTCAGGTTTGGTACAAACTCTGTTAAAACCCGTACTGTAAATGACCAGAGTCAACTCGGGTAGAACTTGTTTAGGATCAATTCATCAAAAATGTTAAGTACCGGTACTTCTAGTATTGTAACCGGGCTAATATTTAAATCATTTTTTATCTAATTACAGTTTTATGAGCTTATTTTTACCATTGCTATTATATCAACAATAGCTTTGTAACACGTTTCCTGGAGGTAGCTTTTCTTTGCCAATAATTCCTTGACCCTTTCAACCACAAGCGTTATGGAGGATTTTTGAATATTTTCCTACATAAAAAATATTATCAAAATTCATCAAAGATCTAACTGTGCAGTATGTTTGGAAAAATAAATAAATTTGAAATTTTATGTGAATAATAAGTTTAATTTACATTGCTGTAGTCTGTCGCCAAACAAATTGCTCTACCAAGCGTAACTAGACCAAACATTTGACCAAAATAACCATCTCTTTCTTCCTGAGTAATAGAAAAAGATTATGGAATATCATTGACCCTTAACCAGAAAAGATTGAAACAACAGAACTGTCCAATCTATAAGTGATTGGTCGCATGATTATTTGAATGAAACACAAAATTTAATATATATACAATATCCAGGGTGCAATCATTCAAGATTTCTAGTCGTACCCGACTGGTAGGCCAATGGTTGTTGCCGCGTACTTGCGCTAGAACAAACTTAATGCTCAATGTGTACTTAGTCTTTAAAATAAGGTTCAAAAGCTCAGGTTTCTGAAAAGTATGTTCAAACAGAGTTTTTCTATTTGAAAAGGGAGTTTGCTATTTGAAAAGGGAGTTTTGCTATTTGAAAAGGCAGTTTTGCTATTTGAAAAGGGAATTTTGCTATTTGAAAAGGGTGTTTTGCTATTTGAAAAGGGTGTTTTGCTATTTGAAAAGGGTGTTTTGCTATTTGAAAAGGGTGTTTTGCTATTTGAAAAGGGTGTTTTGCTATTTGGAAAGGGTGTTTTGCTATTTAAAAACAGAGTTTTGCTATTTCAAACAACAGACTCCAACGTTTCTTAGTGCCATCAGTGCAATCATGTTTCATGCCAAGACATCTCAGACACATGATATACCGTACCAACTAAATTACGGTACTGAATACCTTGGACTTGGAAAGGTCATGTGCTACCAGCAAAAAATAAGTACGCAGATAGCAAGAGTTATGCGTACCTATGTGGTACGTGGCTGAAAACAAAGAAGTACCAGACAGTAATATTGGCATACCTCCGGTACGTAAGTACGCAAATTATCGCACCCTGCAATATCACTTTTTAATAACTAACGTTAAAAAGAATTAGTCGCAAATACCATGTTTCCGAAAACTAAACATTTCGTTGACAGTATATTTACCTGACTTGATGAACTTTTAGTAACAGTTAAAGAATCTTTCATAAAGTTTATAATGTCTTCAACTGTAATTGTATCAAACATCAAAATTATTTCAGTCAGAGCCATCGCAAAGCCTTGTCTTGCTGCTTTTCTTGACGACGCTAAGCCTTTAATGAGACGTTTTAGCGTGTAGCTCAAGTCATCTGGTTTGACTTCTGCGGTACTCTATATAATTAGAAATTGGGCCCTCTTACTTATACAGCTATTTCAATTAAGGTTGTCTACGAGCAAAGCAGAAAAGTTGAATATGATCGCGAAAGGCTGCTGGGAACTGCTTTGAAAATTCATTAATTTATTAGTGATTCCCAGCAGCCTTTCACACTCGTATTCGACTTTTCCGCTTTGCTCATGGACAACCTTAATTGAAATAGCTGTATACATACATACTTGTTGTAATAGCTAATTCGGGTTCAAAAACCTAATGCCATAATGCTTGTCAAAGAAACTGCTCTGGATTGGATGTCATTAATCAGCCCACTATTAAAAAGCTGTTATTCCTCCTACTTTTTTATTTCACCACTTTGTTAATTTCACTAATAAAGTGGTCAATTAGTAATATCTTTTAACACCAGATATTTTACTAATGAATGCAAGGGAAGTAATGTTGGGTGTTGACAAGTGAACCATTGCAACAAATTAAGTTGCAATGTTCCCAGACTGCTAAGTTGCTGTGCATGTTGATTTTGCCATCCTAAGATGCGTTCGCTTACTGTGGAAGAAAACGTTGGTGCACATTTAGCAAACTTAGTAGTCCGGAACTTGAGTCTATTCCCCAAAACAATTACCCTCCCTGGGCACTTTGTTATTTTACTGTCCAATGCCAGACAATTTTACTTGTTAATGGGAAAGTGTTGGCATTAATGGACTAACCAAACTATCTACTCATGTTTCCTGTTAACCCATTAAACTGCAATGCATCCTAATGCACCCTACCATTCTGAACTTCACTCTGACTATATATAGTCAACTGGAATTGTTAGAAAGTGTTGGACATATGCCATATAATCAATTGTTTTGGCTGTCCGAACTGGGTAAACTGCATACTGTAAACACATTTTTTCATTCATACTTTATATATAGCACAATCGATACAAATAAACTACAATGGAAGACGTGTTTAGACGTTTAAAAATGGTAGAAGCGTAACCAGGATTATTCATATTAATAGTTCTCTGGTTTATAAAAATTTATTGAAACGAGCTTTCACAAGACCACAACTGTACAGTGAGTGCGGACTGTCCTGTATATGTACTATTTAAAACGCGAGCAGGAGTGTTTATCAGATATAAAACACGTGAGCGCAGCTCGTTTCAATAAATTTTTATAAACCAGAGAACGTCCAAACTATTAATGTCTTTAGACGTCTCATTTATAATTCTCCATAAAAAGCTCAGCTTACATCATTCTGGATTTCTCCCGTGTTATTTGACGATTTTAAATGCTGGATCAGGCTCACAGCAGCATCGATTCGTATCTTCTCATTGGTCGATGCCAGATCCCAAAAATACGACAGCAAAGTTTTCTCAGACATGGTTTAATTTCTCAAAACATTTTTAAAAATTTTGTGAAAATCTGAATTTTTTTCTAACAACAAAAACGCACGTGTTGCGATGCCCGCGCATGATGTGGGTCAGCAGCGATTACAATACTTCATGTTAGGGAGACCCATGTACTTTATATATATTATTTAATAATTACCAAAGTTTTCCTTGTAATTTCTAGTTTCACTTTTGTTTCTTTTACCTGAGCTGTGAAGAAAAGAGTTCATAATGCTTCAATCAAGTCTGAGGAGAATCTCAAGTCGGGTATGAAACGGAGAAATGCAAACTATTTTTGTCAATTATGTATGCACAATGCCTGGCTCAAATATGACTATAGTCCTTTACGATTCTTGTCTTGGCATGTGTATTCGAATAAAGGCGTGTAAATATGTCACATTTCAAATTTTGCCATGAATTGATGAACACAAATAGTTGTCGTTTTCATATGCCAGAATAACAATCGTATATGAGTGACTAATTGTCTAGTTACCGGTATATAAAATAACAGACGTACTATAGCCCCTTGCCGGCTAGAGCCAGTCATGCGCCCTTGCCGGGTAGACCCTGGGTAGTGGGTAGCCAGTGATTGTGCAAGCCTCTGTTTGCTAGAGCCGGTCATTGGGCCCTCGGGCTCTGCTGGCCAGATAATGGGCAGTTTCAGATTTGACTGCTGCTTCTGACTGGCTTAATATGCAGTTGATTGACCCTCTCTTAAATTATGTGGGTCAGTACAGTACCAATATAACTCTGTAAATACCATTCATGTTACTGTGATTGACAAGCCATGATTCAGGGCTAAAGTTCCTGATCACAGTGTTTGGCAGTCCAAAACCTTCTGCCAATAATTTTTTCTGATCCTTGATCGTTGTGATTGTCTGTCATTTCAAGTCCTATGATTATTCATAAACGTCTCCAAAATACATTCTGCTGTCACCTAGTATGTTGAAATTACATGAGATAATGAAACCAGCCATGCTGTCCCTTCAATTTACAGCATATTTGTCAACAAGTAAGATATACATCTCGATACTTTGGCAAGAAGAAACAGTTCCCTTCAAATACGGTGAGTTGGGCAGTTACTTGCAAACAAATCATAGTTTTCTGAGAAAAGGACAATGTTTTTTGTGAGAATTAAAGCATAAAATCTAAATGGATTTAGTTCGTTATTATAGGTAATAAATTTTGTTCCTCAGCAAGAGGCGTGGGTCATTGAAAGGTTTGGAAAGTTTTCTCGAGTTTTGGAACCAGTAAGTATCAGACCGTTTTTTAACAGTAGGAACAACAATCTAACCTGTAGCTACAGTATAGCCTGCAAAAACAGCCACCCGGTTGTCACAAGACAATCAGGCAGATGTTTTTGCAGGCTATAATAACCTTAAGTGTTAATAAGCCAGCTGTACAATATCTTGTATTGTGTAACGTTTCTGGGAGTGGATTTTTTATTCTTGTTTTATTATTAGGGTCTTGCAATTCTTATTCCTTTTATTGAACAAATTAAATACGTACAAAGTCTAAAAGAAGTTGCAACAGAAGTCCCATCTCAGTCTGCTATTACATTAGGTAAGACAAGACTATCAATTTGTCAGGTAAAAATGTGTTTAAAATGAAGCGCTTTTAATTACTACAGTTTATAATGAGAGTTGTTTTTTATGTATTTTTCAGACAACGTAACTCTGCAGCTCGATGGTATTTTATATTATCGCGTTGAAGATCCTTATCAGGTGAAATGAGTGTTTCCTTGTCTGCCCTAAGACTATATATACAGATATGAGGTGTTTTCCAGGGTTTGTTGTTGTTGTTTGTTGCTGCTGTTGTTGTTGTTTCTCCTGCTGTTGTTATTGTTGTTGTTGTTGTTTTTGTTGTTGTTGTTGTCCTTTGTTGCTGTTGTTGTTGCTGCTGCTACTGTAAGTTGTTGTTGTTGCTGTTGTTGTTCTTTGTTGTTGTTTGTAGTTGCTGTTGTTACTCCTGCTGCTGTTGTTGTTGTTATTGTTGTTGTTGTTCTTTGTTGCTGTTGTTGCTGCTGTTGTTGTTGTTGTTGCTACTACTACTGTAAATTGTTGTTGTTGCTGTTGTTGTTCTTTGTTGTTGTTGTCTGTTGTTGCTGTTGTTACTCCTGAGCTGCTGTTGTTGTTGTTGTTACTCATGAGCTGCTGTTGTTGTTGTTGTTTGTTGTTGTTGTTGCTGCTGTTGTTGTTGTTGTTGTTGTTCTTTGTTTTGTTGTTTGTACTACTATTTCATAGAAAGTGTCACATAATGTTACATCATGTTATAATTGCCAGGCTTCGTATGGTGTGGAAGATTGCGAATACGCCGTCACCCAGCTTGCTCAGACTACAATGAGATCTGAATTAGGTAGAATTCCTAACTTTTGATGTTGTATTTAATATGCAACTGTTTTATTCACACAAAATTCATCCCTTACGTTGTTTATGAAAATTCCAGGAAAGATTACACTGGATAAAATTTTCCAAGAAAGAACCTCGCTAAATTCTAATATTGTCAGTAAGTATACGATATGATTGTACACTATTAGAGACCGCCCATTATTTATGGGGGAGGGTCCAAGAGAAATGTCTTTCTTGGTAAAATTTTTGCTGATTCAACCATCAGAAATAATTGAAAAAATAAATGTGTGTTCACTATTCTGTAGATGCGATCAGCGAAGCGGCGTCTGCCTGGGGGATTAAATGTAAACGTTATGAAATACGTAAGTGCAAGGATAGCTATATCAGTAAATAACCGCGAACACGTATTCTATAATTAAAAACTGTGTTACTTAACTGTAATTTATTCCAGGTGATATTCAACTACCAAGCAAAGTCAAAGAAGCTATGCAGATGCAGGTTTAAACTGTTATGGGCCCATTTCCACTCAAGAAAAATTTCAACGGACAGAAAATTTTCCGAAAATGTCATTGTTAAAAGTTGAAAATTTTCAACTTCAAAATTTTTTTCCGACGGAAAATTTGTGTCGACCAATCACATTTTGAGTGGAACATGTGCTTTTATACCGCTAAGCTTTCCAGTTTTGAAACCAATGACTTTTTTGCGTGCAACCTCGCTAACTTAACGTGTTTATCGTTCATTTCTTCGTTGATAGGTTGAAGCTGAACGTAAAAAACGAGCGGCCATACTCGATTCTGAAGGTAGAAATTATTGCATGCAAAGATTTTAAAACGAAGAGTCTCAAAACTTTTCACATAAATATACCACGTCACGTAAAGATAGGTCTTTGTAAATATATCTGTGTTGAATTTTTCTGTTTCTGGTGCTATGCACTCAGTCAGGTGAAGATATAGAGTGATAACCTCTCTATAAATATTTCATTTCTGAGCACATCACTACATTTTCTCAGGTAAAAAGGTAGCTGCAATCAATGTGGCTGAGGGACAAAAACAAAGTCAGATTCTTGCTTCTGAAGGTCGAAAAATGGAACAGATTAACACGGCGACCGGTACGTAATTATAACTTGATAAATGGTGCAAAAATTGGTGCGCACTGCGTACATGGAGTAAACCTATAAATGTATCAATTTCACATTGATAGTTTCACCACATGTAATGATTTTGTTTTCAGGTGAAGCGAATGCGATTCTTGCGAAAGCGAACGCCAGAGCGGAAGCCATTTTGAAAGTATCAGAGTCTCTGTCACTTAAGGTAGCCACAGCTGTAGTTGGTTGTACATATATGCTCACTTGGATTATCCACCAAACCCATTCTCTGGCTATAGAGCTTCGTTAATGTGACATTATTTAAAGCCCAACTGAATAGGCTCTATAGTCAAGTTGATGTACGTTCTGGAAACGTGTATTTGTTAGTCCTCAATGTGACAAAATGTCAAAAGAATATTCTAAGACCCAGGGCGCAGTGGACGAAAGCCAACACCTAGGTTCTTTCAAAGAACGATCAAAGTACACTAATTCTATTCGTTAACTTTGTTTCAGAGTGGTGATAACGCCGCGGCACTCACTGTTGCAGAACAGTATGTTCAAGCATTTGGTAATCTCGCCAAGACAAGTAACACTGTAATACTCCCCGCTAACACGGGTGACGCCGCATCCATGGTCGCTCAGGTGAGTTAATAATTTTCAATAGTTTTAGACCAAATTCTCCATGATGAAAATATGTAATTTTGGACACGGCGACCGGGACAATCAATTTTTTTCGGACTCGGACTTTTTTCTCTATATTGGATTGAAAACGTGTCATCCTACAGCTAATAGCCTGATCGTTATTATTATGAAAAAATACGTTCATGGAGTGATAGGCAATTCCAGCTATAGATTAAATTTTGATCCAGGCAAGAAGAACAAAATCCATCACCACAGCTAGAAAGAGCATGTTAAAATTAGTAAAATTTCAAAGTTTGGCCTCGAAATGTTGTAAAACGCGGAAAATATAGCCCTGCGAAATTAGCAAATTTTGTATTAATCTGTATTACGCACGGGAAAATGCACCCCATTTGGGTCGAAAGATTTCGCAACCATACTTTGCAATTTTACTAATTTTAACATGCTCTTTCTATAGTTGGCCGGCCAAGGTGGCAAAAAGTGCCTCTAAAGAGAGTTTGATGGCAACTTTATGTTAGAAGCTGGTAACAGGCATTTTCTTATAGTTCAAGCCTTGGTGAATAAGACTGTGTGTGTTACCACTTCTGATTTTTGCTTTATAGCCA